CAGTTTTGATTAACATGATCATCCCATCACTTTTAAAGACTAAAAGTTTGTCATTCTAACCTTTGGCAGTCTGCTGAAGTCCATTTCATCTTTATAAAAAATTGTCATGGTAGCGACAGAACTTTCTACTAAAATAACCCTGGTTAGAATCCCAGAATGGGCCAACTTTTGTATTTTTCAAGCCTGGTTCCCATTTGTCGGCGATGGCATCTGTGGCACTACCTGGAGAGTGTTACCAAGTGTTTTGGATGAGACAGAAACTGTAATGCACTTGTGAAAGACACCTCGACAGTTGGAATCCAATGAACAGCTTGTGAGAATACTGTTGTCGGGGTAAAACTCTCCTTAGTAACACTGAACACATGACCCTAGCAGTAACATTGAACACATGACCATAGCAGTAACATTGAATACATGACCATAGCAGTACCATTGAACACATGACCATAGCAGCAACAGTGAGCACATGACCATAGCAATAAGATAACCAAAAGTTAGTCTTAAAATGACCAAAGTTAAAACTGTTATCCTTTTCTTTTTATTCTATTTGACCTTTTGGATATTAAGGTTGAGGCTTTGTTCATTTCCAAAAATAATGTTTAACTTAAATATTTTCTTTTAAGACTTCCAGTTCTATTGAAACTTCTTAGAAATTTATTTGTGGAATATAACAAAGTTTCATTGACATTAGCTGAATTAAAATAGAAAGAAACAGTTTATGGATAAATTATTAACATCTTGGGTACATCATAATCCATCAAAAACAATTCTCAATGTCTTCATTTCTTTGTTTAATACATATTATTAAGACTAAATTCTGTATTTGTTTCAAAAAAATAAATGATTAATGATCTATACATGGTAAAATAAGATTATTTTGAGGAATTATAAGATACATTATTTGATCAATTTGTCATTTCTGTAGGATGAAAAGTCTCGAGGGAGTAATAAAGTTGATGCAAGCCGAATGTCTTCTAAAAGGTTAATCATATTCTGTTTTATAAAACATTTGATGCCTTTCTCAGACTCATCTTGGGATTAGGTCTGAATTTTCAAGAATTTGTTATTTAACTATTTTGTCTTCAATTGAATAAAGTATGTGTTATTTGCAGGAATGCTAAAAAGCTTTTCTAGTAGACCTTGGTGGTATCTTGAAATTTTGTCAGAAGATTGGAAAGTTATTTTCTATGTGTGAATATCCGTTTGTGTTTAAGTTACGGTTGATTATTTCTTGTCAATTCAATAGCTCATAAATTTATATCCTTGATGCAGGTCTCGAGATAAAAATATGTCATTGCTGTTTAATAACTTTAATAAATAAGATTTAAAATTAAACCTGTTGATGTGCATTAAAGATCTAAATCCCTTTGAAGTCAGTTGATCTGATATGTTATAGTGATGGGGTAAATTCTTTATGATTATGAAGTCGTAAGTAAGACGCTGGCTCGCTAGCCTGGAGGTCGAGTGTTCGATCCCTGCATTGGCCAAGAAAGTTCATGGGATTTTCCAACATGGTTTCCCCTTGTCAGTGGTGCTGGATGGGAGGGCCTGACAAGGACAGCTGTCTAGTCGTTCGGATGGTATGAAAAACTGAGGTCCCATGTATACACTGGCATGCACATAAAAGATCCCTTGGCAGTTGGAATTCGATATAAGAGTAGACCATAGTGCCGCTTCCCGGGCAATATTTCCCTCATAGCACACCGTATGGCAGATACCTGTCTTCATTATCCCAGTCGGAGCAGAACAGTAGGACGTTAATCCCCATTTCATTTCATGAAGTCCTAATACAAGGGTGTACTAGTTTAATTGAACTACAGCTATCGATAGGTGTAATAATGGTTTTTAAATGGCTGTAATCCATCTCTCAATTTCCTAATGGTTACACCTACGTCAGCTCTAAAAACATACATCATTATCGTCATCGTTTAGTATTTTATCGAAAGAGAAAACCACTTTGCAACGACAATAAAAGATTTAAGTTTATTTATATATTTGTGATATAAATGAGCTTCTGCTTGATCTCCGCACAGGTAAAAAAAAAGAATGGTGATCAGTGAAAGGCTGTTTTGCGTCAAGCATGTCAATTAACCATGACAGGTAGCTTGTACTAATATTGTTATTGAAAACAAAATGGTAGTGATAAAAATCAAAGCAACTTGTGAAGTTATGGTCGGTGAAATTAACCATAGTGCCAAAACTTGTTATTATTGACTTGCCTTCCTAAAAGGTTTTTACACTTTCTGAAATAGTCCAGATTATGGAAAAGGTAGTCCAGTGGATACGTGCTAATCTCTGTTAAGTATTTAAGTGTGTGGGTAATTATTGGCAAGGTGTTAGACCTACTACCCCACTGTTTGACAAATAAACTTTCACAGGTTCCAAGATTAGTCTTCAAATTGGCATTTTAATCATCAGGTGGTCAAGATCTGTTTGTAGACGACTTACAAATGGTAGATAGCCTTGACCAAATATTACCATCTGTTCTTAAAGTTTTTGGGTGGTTTTTTTTTTCATTGAAAAAATAAGTTCCTTGATTTCTTTGTCATGTATTCAGTTTTAATCTGACACTAAATTAGCCTCAACAGAATTACAAATTTTGACTGAATTTTTCCAAGTGCAGATTTAATAATTGAAAGGGAAAATGATTTCAATCTAATTCGTGATTCTTAACATAAAAAAACCTGTATGAATTTATTAAAGTGTGTATACTTCCTTATTGAGGGGAATATGTGAGGTTTTAGATATCTTATTCTGCCAAGATTGTTTAAATAAAACTAAATAAAAGATAACTATGTTTTCTTTGTATATATACAAATATCATTACAAGATAGTCTATTTGAATACAGAGTCAAACAGGACTTCATTATTTTAAAAGGCCTAGTTTCCTTGGGTGTATCACATAACATGGAGTGTAGGAGGCAATTATAAGTTTGGCATTTCACGATATACAAAAGATAGGGGGTGCACAGAACAACCTCTTGCCCACCCCCTCTTCCTGATTGCCCCCCCCCTTCCCCCTTCCTGATTGCCCCCCCCCCCTTCTTCCTGATTGCCCCTGACTGTTGTATTAAATAAGAATTCAATTTCTGTGGAATTAAACCTGATATTTCTATAAGACCGAGTTCTAGTACACATAATGAACAATAAAAACTTTTCTATATTAAGAGATATCATATTAAAATCGACCAAGTCTAATGCAATATAAATTTAACATCCAACAAGGCAATTTCCTGCGGCAAATATTATTGAATTTAAAGAAAATGAGGTTTTTTATTAACTAAAAGCAATTGTGGTTTTCTAGACCAGAAATACATCAACGTGTGGAGGTAATAACGGCATACAAATTAATTGAATATATAGATTGCAGAAGTGAGGTATATAAGTTAGATAATGTTACAGATAAACATCTGTTACAAGTACATGTTTTTACAATATTTTTTGGATATGGTGGAACAATGGAATAATGTAAATGACGGGTAGTCGCGTGTGTGTCAATTGTTTTTGAAAGGTGGTTGTAGGTTAAATTGAGCGGCAAGAAACTAAACACAAGCAGGTGAAGATTATCCTAAGAGGTTATACAGATGATGGGGTTTAGAGAAACCTGCCTTTCTTACCGATATCATCATAATAATGTTACTACAACATGTTTATTCAAGCAATGTTTATTCAGTTTTTTTTCTGACCTAGTATAGAAATGAGCCGCTTAGCTTCAGTTTAGTGGATGTTAGTTTGTGATTTATTTAATTTAAAGATGTTTTGAAGTTGTTGCACAGTTTTTATGCAAGTAAGAATTTCATGTTAGTTCGTGATTTTTTTAATAAGTTGTTGCACACTTGTTGTTTTTTTTGCAAGTTAGAATTGACATATTAATATTTATGTTAGATAAGATTTTCATATAAAATATTTAGAATTGAAAGAAGATTGGTTTCAAATTTGAACATGATCTTTATATGATTTCAGTTTACATAAGAATGTACATTTGATTTGGTTTTATTTTTTAAGAATTATTCTATGATAAAGGAATGGACAATATTATATCAGTTTGTTTTGATTTACACATGTCTATTTATTTGACAAATTTTCATTTTCATGGACTATTAAGTTTACAGTGAGGTTGAAGTGTTCTAGAAGCAAAAGTTGTTGAGTTCTGCATCAGTAGTCAATTAAAGTGCATGGTGTTATAGAGACAATGCAGCCAGTATTGACTGATGACAAGTCAAAGGTGGATGTTTTCACAAAATTAGCTCGATTTAAAATCAAGGTGTAAAGATTAAGAGAGAGAAATGTTTATCTGAACTGATCATCAAGTCACTAACTTAAACAAAGCTGTGATTTGTGGCTGTTAATCCAGGGGGGTGAACTATTGTCAACTGTTGACTTGACTTCTTAGCTATTGTTTTAAAGCTAACATATTGGACTGAGATCTGTGCACAGGTTAGAGCAGTCTCAGTCTGGACTTTGAGGTGTTGATAGAAGTCGTGGACAAGTATGCTAGAAATCTTTTCTTCATTGAAACTTATGTATTTAGTTTTGAAATCTGTTTCAAGGGTCCATGTCTAAAATTTTTGTTCAAAATATTAAATCAAACTGCAATTAATGGAAACAAAACCAACTTTTCAATTTCTTTTGGATAATTTTCATTGGGAAATATACTACTAATGGTTATCTCTCAATTCATTATTGTAATAAATTGTTCAACACTAAAACCTATATATGAAGTTGTGCCATAGCCTACCTGGAATGTTGATGTGCGCTTTGTAAGGTGTAGGTGTAAATTGAATAAATTCTTGCAACATGTTGCTAAATTCTGACATAACAATGTCATATCATAATAATCTCTACTTCCTAAAACATGTCATGTTTTCTAGATTAGCTAATACACAATGAAAAAACTTTCCTTTGCAAGTGTTGTCTTTCATTTCTGATAACCTTTTTTTTGTTATGTTGACATCAAAAATGAAGATAAAGATTATAATTTCATTATTTTTATCTTTCAGAAAAAGTCCATGAATCCAGATGCTTTATGATATACGGAAAGTTCTCAAGCTGTAAACAGCCATATATATAGTTTTGGAATTGTGATCCGAAAGAATAGAACTTTATCCATGGTTAGACACGTTTCCCGAACATTGATACGGTAGTGAGAGTTCGGAAAAAAGAATTTCCATAATGGCTTCCATAATTGTTGTAATATTTAGTTTTTTGATTGTTCCCAGCATTTTAGGAAATGAAATTACGTTACGTTATGAAATCGAGGAAGAGCAAGATCCTGGTACGGTAATCGGAAATGTCGCTTCCGACAGTAGACTTGATGAAGACTTCAGTTCTGCAGAATTTCAAAAACTGACTTATATCATATTTAAGGAAGGTAATGCACATGCAAATAAATTCCGAATCAATGATAAAACAAGTCAATTAAGTACAGCTGTTAAACTAGATCGTGAAGTCGTCTGTGAATCCAAGTTGGTTTGTGAATTAAAAATAGATATTGGCGTGTACATGAAGCTGGATTCTGGAATTGATGATTTACGTAAAATTGTTCGAGTGACAATAGTTTTACAGGATATCAATGATCATGCGCCAACTTTCACCAAAGATACTATTACGCTGGAAGTTCCAGAATCCGTTCTTAAAAATCATGTTCTTTATATAAGTGGTGCCAATGATCCTGATATCTCGCCAAATTCTATCAAAGAATACAGTTTGATTCCTCCAACTGGTATGTTCAGCTTGCAGGTAACCACCAACTTAGATGGCAGTTCTAATTTAGGCCTGATTGTCAATCATAAGCTGGACCGCGAAACTGTAGATTTGTTTAACTTAAAGATCATCGCAAAAGATGGCGGAATTCCTCCGAAAACTGGCTCAGTGAACATACAGATTAAAGTTCAGGATGATAACGATAATAGGCCAGTCTTTTCCAACGAACCATACCAGATCTCAATCAGGGAAGATTTTCCTGTTGGTTCCACTATTATCAAACTCGATGCTGTAGATCCTGATTTTGGTGTTAATAGCAACCTGACCTATTCCTTGAGCACCCGAACATCTGACAAAGTAAGAAAATTCATTGATATAAATGAAGCCACAGGTGAAATTTATGCCAAACAACATCTTGATTATGAACAAGAGAAGTTTTTACAATTTTTAGTCGATGTTTCGGATCGAGGTACACCATCCCTCTCGTCTCAGACAACTGTTAAAATTGACATAGAAGATGTAAACGACAACGCACCTCAGCTCAAAGTGAATCTTCCACCTAGCAGTCGTGCTATTTCAGAATCGGCACAGAAAGGTGCCTTTGTAGCTCATGTGTCTGTTTTTGACGAAGATAGTGGTGAAAATGGAGAAATTACATGTGACATTGCTGATGATAGGTTTTCGTTGCTCCTCTTTTCTGACTTTGCGTACATCTTTAAAATATTGTTGGAGAGACCTCTCGATTATGAAGAAACACATAATGTCACTGTTAATGTAACGTGCAAAGATAATGGCAACCCACCTCAATTCAACTCTACGTCATTTGTTTTTGACGTAGCAGACGAAAATGATAATCCTCCGCTTTTTTCTCAAAAGGAATACAGAGTTGCCTTTACAGAGAATAATAGTATTGGTGATAAAATACTGACTGTTCAGGCCACTGATCCAGATAGCGGTGAAAATGCTAAAATTATTTACGAACTGATGAACAGAAGTTCAGTAGTGACTATAAATTCTTCCAGTGGGATTATTCGTGCTGAAACGGTTTTCGATCGTGAAGTAGAAACCTGGGAGTACAATTTTAAGGTGATAGCTAAAAACACTGGATATCCAGTCGTATCCTCCACTGCAGAGGTAGTTGTGATTATCACAGATCAAAATGATCATCCGCCATTATTTACGTCAAAACATTTTACGTTTGGTGTGATGGAAAATCAACAACCAGGTACACACGTTGACCGATTGAATGCGACGGATGCAGATAACAGCAAAAATACAAATATGATTTTCTCTTTCGCGGCTGATTCGCAAGTTAATGAGTTCAGTATTGATCCATACACAGGATTTATTAAAACCACCAAAAAACTTAATCGCGAGGAAAATAGTCATTACGATTTTAATGTTGTAGTTAGTGATAAAGATAAATCAACGTTTGAAGATACAGCTAAGGTTACGGTAAATATTTTGGATGATAACGACCATGCTCCCGTTATATTGTACCCTAATGAACGCAATAAGACGGTTCAAATTCCCTTTAATAAGCCTGCGGGTACGATCATCTTAACGATTAAAGCCGAGGATTCAGACAGCGACAATAACGCCAAGTTAACATTCTCCATCAATAAGGGTAATGATAAGAAACTCTTTATGATGAATTCCGATACTGGAGAAATCATGATTGCCAAAACCTTGCATGCGAGCGATTCCGATACTTATCCCTTGGTTATTGGTGCCCACGATAATGGTGGCGCAAAACAAAAGAATTCTTATTCCAATTTAAATATAATAGTGACTGGAGGTAACAGTTCTGCTATAAGATATGGCGAACGTGGTAATGGCACAGAAAACCAGAATATGGCAATTGTGATTACCCTTATTATTGTGACTGTGGTTCTCGCCATTGCAGTTTTAATAACAATTTGTATTATTCGAAAAATAGATCGCGATAGGCGTAAGAAAAGCACCAGTAAATTGGAAATGGAGAAAGCATTAGAAATGCAGAAACCATTTGATCATTTGAATGACTTAAAATCTAGTGATTCAGAAGACAATGAAATAGAAAAACTAAAACAAAAAATTAAACGTGATTTAAGTTTTTCTGTGAATGACAGTGAACCAAACTTTGATTCTTCATCTTTCACGAATGTGTCATCGTTTACAACATTTACTGGTAAAAATTTAACATCATATTCCTCCATAGAACAGAAGATGCTTGAGGTACGTACATTTATATTTTATGGTGATCAGTGCAATGATGTTTAACACATGACGATAGCTCACTAACGATGGTGTATGCCCATCTTAACACACAACACAATTATATGGAATACTGATTACTTGAACAATTATTTCTGGTAACGTTGCTTGAAAAAGATGAGAACTCGTGTTGGAACATCTCCAGAAATAAACTTCTAAGTAACTTTTATTCCATCATAAATTGTTGTGTATTATTCAGTTAATAAATGCTCCTTAAACAATTTATCAGGTGTAGTTAAATGAAATTAAATGAAGTCCTGAAGTCAAAGAATATTTTAGAGTTTAGATGTATCAAATCTGTCCAGTTAATGACAGCCACTGATGCTTCAGTTTGGTCAGTCTGTTTTTCGGTATATTATGAAAGGAAATCGTCTTCTCATTATTCCTCCTGACAAACGATGTTGGAGTTGAAGGTGTGACATGTAATACATCCATCATCCTCATTGTCACAAAAGTTGCACAAGAATTAATGCGTTTAGCTATCTGATCCGAGTTCGAGGACATCCTCTTGGTGATCGGAAATCTAATAAAGTAGGATCGGTAACATCTTCTATACAGGAATAACAACTTGTGGCTAATGATATTTCCTTTGATGGCATTAGAAGGAATATTAATTTAACGTAGTTACTTAGATGGTTAGCGTCTCGGTGAGCTGTCTTAAGATATTGTCGGACATTTAGAGTCTCTATATTGTATACAAACAATAACGATCACCCACAGGGTTTAGGTATTTTTCATTAATTAGGGATCTTTTATTTGCAAACATGCTAAGTGGGATAAGTTAGGGGATTAGGAGAGATTATGTCAAGTTTGGGAGTTAATCTTAAATATAATCTGATATCACATAGATAGGATATCATCTTCCATCCAATGGCTCTTAATGATATCAACAAACCCAACATGGTGGATTGTTCATGTGTATCCAAATACTTGTTTCTTTCTTCAGATAAAGGTTGATTATAGAATAAGTAATTTCGATAATAACTTAAATTCAGATATTGGCATTAGCATGAACAGCATGCACAAACTTATCAAAGCTGATTTAATGACATCGACAAGTCATTCTATTTTTCCTCAAAATTTCTATACAGTACGAATGGGTACCATTAAAATTAAATGACTTTCAATTTGTTTTTCTATTTTGTTTTATATTCTGTATTTTATGTTTACCAGATTCAAGGGGTTTCGTTAGCCCTGCTCTACAGTATAATATTTAATGAAAAGATTTACCCTTACTATTTAGACCCTGTTTGAAATTTGTATTTTCTTAAATAACATGGTTAAATGAATATACACTCCCATAACCTTTCTCCTATATGACATTATAAATTGATTCAGAAATCTATATTGAGATATCAACGGTGGGATGTTATACAGAGAAAATTCAATACCTGTAGTTGGCAGTGCTTTGTGTAGCCTAAGTTACCACACCTTCGAGATTTGTCATCAAAATGTATCGCTACATTAGACATTATTTCTGAATTGATGTGTTCATTATAGATTTGCCTTTACTAATTCATGGTGTATTGAATCATTTATGACCGATTTATTTAGAATATATGGACCATCAGGTACCTATATAATAACCTCATATAGAGGGACTGTTCGACAATATAAAATTTGCTTCTTTTTGTTCATATTGAGCACTTAAATGTACACATGTTATGAAAATTTAGAATTAAGACTCCAGGGTACTGGACCATTGTTTTTAGAACATTAATCAATTAAGGTGGAAACACTGTCTGATCCAAATTTACTCTCCATTGCTCACTTCAAGGAATATGCTTATCTTGATTTTTTTCCAGGGTTGTGCTGAAAAGTAGGATGCCAAACCCCATTTCATTTCAGTCATAAAATATAAAGAGAATAATTACGGACATGTAGTCATATTTGTATCCAAATTTAATAGTGCCTTTGATCTTAGTTGATTGTATCTTTTTCAATATACAAGAGTTAAAATAGGGAACAATAAATAAATTCTACTTTTTTTTATTCCCCCATTATATGTAGGAGTACATGTGGTCTGTCTTCAACCCTCATTTAGTGATCAAATAAATACCTTAGAGAAAATATTTTGGCACCTAGATCATTGTATCAGTTCTTAAATTGTTGACGCAGCATTCTTTAGATTAGTGATCTTCCACTCTGTGGAAAATTTAAACTGTAAACAGCGTTGTTTTAGCATAGCACCTGACTACATAAGGAACAGGCATGATGGGAAAGGTATCACAAACGTGTCACATTGACTTCCGAACATATCAAATTGATGTCAATCCTTTTCAAGTCATTTGAAAATGTTCCAAACATGTTTTTTCACGGCTTGGGCCATTTCCTCACCCCTGGATTTGTTTGAAGAGTGGCATCCTCTTCAAATCTGGGTTCATTTAACTCACTTCAACCACTTGTTTTAAAGATCAAAGTTAAAAACTGTTAATTTGTCTCAAGAAAATAAATTGTTTGTTTATAGAATTAGGCATTAAAGAAGTTAAATTTGTATAATTGGTTTGTAAAGTTCACAACGCATGCCGTCTGCTCTGAGGGTGTTGTGAATGTTTGTTAGGAAACCGCTACAACCACTCGTTATTTCACTCCTCTGTGTTAAATTTTTAGGTAAAGGCTAACCATTGGATTACCTGTTCCAAACCTAATTTGTTAGAATTAGCTCTAGTGAAAAAAAAAGATTTTAAATTGGATAACCATGTCGTGAATCGGTGCAGTTCTGAAGTACACTTGCAGCATAGCATTGCTATTTGCAAAAATAGCAAAACTATAATTGTGAAAGTTTGTCTAAAATTTTCAAAATCAATATAGCAGTATCTGTACCATTAGGATTAAAAGATACTTTTTTGTGGAATCCGTTATGTTTGTCGCTCTATATACCACCGAAACATTCAATCTAACTAGTTGAAATGTTTTCCAGTGAGGCTCATATAAAGTAGACTGAACACCATTTTGCTGGATATTGAAAGGAAATAGTAAAGTGGTGTTAGCCGTTTACGCGCCATAAAATGTAATAAAAAAAGAACAGCTGTTGATATTCACACAATATACCCCGAACTCTAAATGCTTCATTTAGGTGAAACCTGTTTCCACATCGCAATGGATAACAAAGATAGGCTTCATTGAACGTTGACTGCATGAATATTCTGAAAGAAAATTTTGAATGTTGGAAGTATGAATTGGGGTTAAGTATGGAGAGAGGATAAAGGAGCTGGTGACAAATTATCACTTAATAGTGTTAAATATGAATTCTGATAAAAGACTATTATGATTCTAAATGACTGTTTTTATAGGATTTCAATTTTTCCTGCCTTTATTGTCAAAATCTATTTCTGTTAAAAGGAAAATCTTAAGATATTCTTATCAGAATATTCAAATAAATAGTGAAAGTTAACTACAATAAATATGAATATTTCCTAAAATTATTTGTGGCCTGAAAAACCATAATGTATTTTGCTTGTATATATTTTGATAAACAAATAATATTCAATAAAAAAAATGATAAGAGTTAACATTTGTTGATATTAATATTGTTATTTTCAAAGTTGTGTATTAAATGAAATATTATACACGTACACACTCAAAACGGTTTAACCCTTATTGTTAAATTTCTGTTATAGGGCCAGGGAAACTTAGTTGTAGGTCCGATAAATATTTCTCATGATCAATATTATGAGAATTGTTGCCCTTTATTTCACATTTAAGGAGTTTAATATATTTTGACCCTATTTTATTTGTTATATTTTTCAGAATCCACAAGCTTGTAGTTCTGTTTTATCTAATAATACATTGTCTCCAGATGGAAACAAGAAAAATCGGCATTATCCCGATAAAAGGCGGGAAATAAACAGATTGTCATCTGATCATTTAAGACCATATAGAGGTCATTGGTTACAAGATCAAAAGGTAATGATCACCTTAATCATTCCAATGAGTAAATGAATTGAAAATAAAATTGGTCAGGGGGTTTGCAAAGGAGACCTTATCTTAGCATATCTTTTTAACAAAGTAAAGGTACATGTAGTTATTAAAGAGAATATCGATGTATTCTAAGGAAATAATCTTGTTTATATAGAATGTTAATGATCAGCTTAATGATTCTAATGAATTAATTGAAAATGGTCAGGGTTTTGCAAAGGGGAGCTTCTTTAAGGATATGTTTTTACAAACGTAAATCTAGTTAAGAAAGAGAAAATATGTCCATGCATTCTAAGGAAATAACCATGATGATTTAGAAAATCTTATCATACCAGTACATTGCTAGATTTTAGTCAAGAATTCTGAAAGCAGATACTGATTTCTACTTCTGAAACACTGATTGATAAATGGTTTAAAATTATGCTATTTATATATTTATGTGTCAGAATATTATGGCTAATCTTAAAATCTTAACATGGAAACAAAAAATGGTCTGATTATCGTGTTTATTGATTTTTTATGTGGACAATACTGCAGGTATCTTTGTGTATATCTTGTTAGAGTTGAACAGTCACAATATCATCGATGGCTTTATGATTCACGATGATCAGATAAAGAAAGTACGCCAATGAAACAATCATAATGAAGATAACAATAGGTCCAAATCACTGGCGCTGAACGTCCATCTCTTCAATTTTCTTTTTTAAGTCTGACCCTCTGTCTTTTCCACTCTACTTACTGCACTCTCTATTTTATGACCTGTATGGTCTAAAAATAAGCGAAAACTTGATTATTTATTTATTCTTTGATTAGTTTTATTTGGAAGTACTGATAAGAATTAATGACTCTTTATTCTATAGATTAACAATATTGACTATTGTTGTTTGTTGTGTATATGAACTTAGCAAAACCAATTCTCTTCAATAAATTAGTAAAAATAATTAAATGACAGTATATATGTTTGTTATATTAAGAACACTTTACTATCTAAAATCTGAATTTCTCACTAGACCTACTGTTTCAACTTTATCACAAAAGTTGAAACGTTCAGAAACTCAAATTTAATTTTGACAGAAACGTTCAGTCTGTTTAGGAATAAGTAGGCCTAAACATGATAAAGTGGAATATTTCTTTATTTTGATACAGAATATAGTTATGAAGTATAATGGGAAATATTTTTTTTTTTTTACAAAGTCTTAAATGTTATGGAAAGCAAGTTTGATTATGACAGATCAAGTTGAGAATTTTAGACCTCGAAATAGATTTCTCTTCAAAGAGGACAGATCCTTGAGTGAATTCTAATGAAATTTTTTTAAAAATGTCATCTGTGTCAGAAACCCAACCAGACTTGATATCTCATTATGACCTCAAATTATTTTATTTTTATTTACTGGTTTTTCAGCATCAAGGTATGTCAAAGATATCAGAAGATCTAACAAGTGAGATCTCTGGTAGTACGGAGACGAGTGAACGAGACAGTGGGCGTGGTGGTAGCGAAGAAGATATTCATCCACATAGTGATTCTGGTAAGTTCCACTTAAACCTTTTCTAGTCTTCAGAAATGGAAACCAAAGATATTAGTCTGATGTACGTTTTCAGAATTGATTTTCAAATAACAATGTATTTAAGGCATTCTCATGAAAATATTTAAATATTTGATTTTAAATGGACTTTCTCAAAACTAATGACGAGAATTATTATGGGGTTAGAAAAGATTGACATTTCTTGGTATATTAAGAAATTTTAATGAATGTTTAGGAGTAGCTTATATAGGAAGTTTTTGTTTTTTTAATAAATTCCATTATTAGACATAACTTATTGAAACGTGATGATAAAAGTCAGTACAGCCCTATTTCATACAATACATAATACTCAAATACATGACATTTTGACAGATCTATTGTGTTTTATTGGTAAAGATGATTGACTGTTAAGCATACAACGTTTTTATTAGCTTGTATAGTATTATGCACGTCTTTCCAACCTCCTATACCTCTTTTAAACCCCCAAGACGTGTTGGTCTAAATAAACGCTAAATCAGGAGTGAATAACTTGCAAAACAATGATTAATTGGACTAGTGGAGGACATTGAAGTATTGATCAAATAAAAACTAAATAAATAATATCTTGGGATCCATCTTGTAGTTAAGAAATCCACACAAAGTAATTTGTATTACATAATTCTCCTTTTCAAAATAGTATTAAGAATATGAGTATATTTCAACATGAAATATAATCCTTCTTTGTTTATTTTATATTCTTGATTAAAATCTAAAACTCAAACTTATTTAACCTAAATAGTAAATATTGAAATTTGTTATTTTTCTTGTAATTTTTTAATTCACCTTTTGGAGAGATTCTTCCCGTTTATTTACACTACATGATGTAAGAAGCAACCTACTGTTTGAATATAAGAATTCTGCATTATCTCAGTAAATGGAAAAACTGAACTCTACGACCCCCAATGCGGTATGAAAAGTAGACAGTTTAAATGCAATAAGTTTTCAAAAAGCAAATATTTATAATAGAATATGTATCAAGTCTGCTCTGTTTGATCTTTAGTTTAACCCCCATACATATCAGAGTATATTATGTATTGTAACTATTAGTTTAATGAAGTTAAATATGTATAGAAAACATGAAGATTTATAGCCCTTTGTTTTCGACCGTCTGCTTCAAGCGTGAGAATCCTTGGCCCCTTTTTGTATCAATAAAAGCTTTCTAACTGAACGACACACATCTTTGAAAGAGGGGAAGACAGAATTTACCTGGGCATTGAATTACTATACACCGTTTGACTCTAAGACACTGTTAAAACTGTCAAATATAATTAGTTTAACTTCTGAGGGAGGATCCATTTGATATCTATTAAAATATATAACGATTGTTATCATGATATTACGATATCATTATACTTTTAGACTCAATGATATGTAACTCTTATCTTGTGGGAAATTATCCTCTCGAATTATTTTACAAATTACTCCTTTTTATTGATGAGTCACAAATAGAATTTGATATTCATATCCACCTGTATTTTTGATATATTTATCAGAATTATTATACCATTTATTGACTGACTAATATTTAAGGCATTTGATGAATCTTGGGATTGATTTATGAATACATACTACATCGTATTATATATTTCACAAAGAAATAGTAAAAAAGGGGTTAAATATTTTTATGTAGATATCTTCAATCTGTTGGTATATTGTAATAAGTTATTTAGTGCAGTTGTTCATTTCCAAATGATGAGAATGGCTAGGACTTTAAAATACAACAGGTCACATTATGATGTGTTCACTTCCATTGACATAATAGCTTAGTTTTCTCATAGGAATTTCATTCAGTTCACATGAACCAAAAAGTGTATTTCACACCATGTTCACTGACACGTATGTTAGAATATAATCACTCTATCACAGTTGTGATCCATTGTTACCCATATTGTATTCCATACTTTTTACCATGCCACAGATCTATTCCATTCTCTCTATGGGGACACTTGATACACCACCTTAATAAAACATTCATATGAAGGCACTGTAATGCAGTATGGATCCTAACCAAAATAATCAGATCTGATAAAAAAATTCTGTTAAAAGATGGTCCATCTGTTTTTATATTCTAACAAATGGTAGATAATGGCAACTTCTCCATCCAATCAACTCGTAGACAAATCCTAGGTGCCTCAATACAAAGTCTACCCTTAGTTAAAGAATGTGTTAATCACATCATCAATGCTACCAGATCTTTAATTAGTGTGTACTAAGGTTTAGTAAATTAGTCAAATTTTGTTTATTATGTATTTCAAAATTAAATCTTAGTCATGTTTACCCATTCCAATTGGCAATTGTTAGTTCTGCTTCTGCCAGTGACATGAACACAATCTTGAATTAAGAACGGTATCTAGATAAGAAGGCTTTTATCTATTGTTAGAATATAGATTGACTATCTTTAAAAAAAAAACTTAAAAAGATAAGGACAGGGAAAACACTGTGTGATTATTAAAGAAACAAACTTGTTGCTCATGCTAGTGTTCAGAAAGATAACACAAACAGAAAAGTTTGGCCATAAAATTTATGCTATCCTTGTAATTTTTGTAGCTTCTGGAAGTACATCTTGCTACGTTTGAGCCATTTAATTTGGCACTTATTAAATCTGTGGTAAGTTCACACACATATATGTATGAAAGATAAATATCAACAATTTTTCTGGATAATTCCAATAAAATTGCAGACTTTTTATCTTTTTAGATATATTATCCTCTAGGGGCTTTCAGTAGATGGTTTTTTGCTTATTTGTAGAAAATACAAAATGTAGTTTCACGGACACATATAACACAATATATATTTTAGTGTGCAGTGATTTTAATTTTTTGTGTGCTTTGTTTTTGTCTCTATATCTGTTGTGTGCTTATGCCTCTATATCTGTTGTGCTTATTCATATACAATTGTGTGCTTTGTATTGTGTGCTTTTTACTCTGCTTCTCTATAGCATATTGATGCTTTTATTTGTATGGTGTGCTTTGTATTATGGTGTGCTTTTAATATTGGTGTTTATGTGTATATGTTAGTTTTCCTATATATATCTCACCTGTGTCATGTTTCGCCTTCTTTTATTTCTTATTTCATTTATGTAAATAGGGTTTCTCCACTTACCTTTTCGGGGGGGTTGGATGGCTGAATGGTTAGCGTGCACGCGCTGTATCATAAAGTCTGTCATTGAGCCGACTGGCGTGGTTTCGAATCCCCGGTTGTACATGACAAGGAGTAGGGTCGTCTGTCCAACCTCGTGGGTTTTCTCCGGATCCTCCGGTTTCCTCCCACTGCTAAAGACCCCAACGTGCAAGCGGGTTGTTGAAATAAAATTAAACCATATGTTAGTCCTGAAATGACCTAGTTTGTGTCGACTGGACGTTAAACCCCATTTCTCTCTCTCTTCACTTACCTTTTCAATATTTTGCTATATTTTGTGTATTATATTAATGCTTTTTGGTGTTAAATGTGCCATTTTCTTTTCACCTAGTAAATATTTGTTACAAATCAATATTCTGTTTATCCAATTTGGTACCAAATACAATATAGCTAAATTAACTTTATATCTGGGTGTTCTGTATTTTTGTAACTTAATTTTTTGGTGACTGGTGTTCTGTATGTTCTGTAGTAATGAAATGTATGTAATTTTCTCTTATGTGTCAAATTTGATTACAAGAAATCATTTTCGTAAGACTTTTCTATCCTTGATTGAAAAGTTTGCGTGATTGGTTTCCCACCATTGAGGAAAGATACTTTAGAATATATGAATTGGCTACTAAAAGACACTGGTCGGTAGCAGCTACACTTAAAATGGATTTGAACAATAAGACCACTTTTCTGATCAATAACTGTTTTGGTTGAATTTCTTAGTGTTTATTGAATCACTGTTAATTGATGTGGCCATTTTGTTGTCAGATAGACAAGCATCCCATGATAATGATATTTTAGCCTTTAATTATTGGTAAAGCAATTTGTACAGAACCAAAAATATTTATAAAACGGTACTATTTTTGGTGGCAATGCAATTATCAAACCAATTTCTGTTCAATCTGAACCCATTCATCCATAATCTGAGATCTGTTATATTTATCTTTGCAGATGATACCAAACCCGTGACTAGCCCCAGTAATGGAGAGAACAGTTTTCGGCATGACGAAACTACTCCAGAAATTGTCAATGTATCGCCCCATAGTCTGCACTCACCAACAGACACACATTATCAACGCAACATTAGTTTTAGTGATGACAGTGTGACGGCGAACACTACTGTTGATAACCAACAAAGACTGCGGAGGAATTTCTCAGAAAGTTGCTTCATGGCAACTCCACAGAATGTGACACCCATACCACACGATCGTATGCGCAGTTTAAGGCGATGTGCGGTAACAGAAAGTGCTCTGATGGGAACATTTACTGATTACACCCATAGCACACTGGGAATGGCATACTCGATTGGAGACATTGATTTAACGGGGACAATAGCGGCCAATGAATCGACTGTGATAACAATGGCACCAGAAGCTGATCAAACTAATAATACTACCTCGTATGATCACACGATTAATGCAGAGGAGTTGTGCAATGAGATAGATCAGCTGTTTTTTAACAATTCACAATATTAAACTGTTTGCGACAGTATAAATAAATGTGCAATATGGATATTAACCAAGCTATGCAATGTTGTCTGGTGATGAGTTGAATGATGTTTATTTCAAAAGCTTTGTGTGCATTTAATTAAAAACTGTCATTTAATGAGCTTTTTGTGAACTGAGATTGTTCGTTTGAATTTGAATTGAGATGTTCATTTTTAGTTGCAATTGTTGCTATATATATATATAAGTCTCTGTCTCAGACACGTTTGTATATTGAATGTAATTATACTCATCAGAAATATTATCTTTCATCAACATCATCATGCATTAAATGAAACGTTATCAGCATTTTAATATTAATTACCATAGCTCGTTATTAGAATTGTAATTAGTAAATTTCACGTGTATAAAAGAAAATGTATTGCCAATATCCCCAGTGTAAATGTAAATAGATACTTACAAATTGAATTGCAAGATATGGTGCTATATGTATGTATGGATATGTTTATTGTTATTTGTTATTATTAAATACTTTGTTTTTAATGTTATCCAAATGAAAAATTACATTTCTCCTCCAAAAACTCAACTTCTGTTTAAATATTTAAAATTATTTTTCTTTAATATTTCAAATAAAACGAGTAAAACTTCATTTTTCATGAGATTAATACATCAGTTTTTAAATTTTTAAGTCATTAATTTATTATAAATACCAAAAACATTTTAAACTTTTTTAGCTGTAGTTTCTTTTTTAATCCGGAAAGTTTTAAAGATCAAAATCTCTATAAAGTGTGACATGTATTTATTACTAGATCTTAATAAGATCTTAATGTAATACATGGTTTGTTGTAATAAAAAGTTATAGATATTTATACAATGGTGGTTGTGGCATTTTCTGTTGCACCAATGCTGAGGGGTGGGAGGCGAGAGCCTGCTTATGTGAATCTGCCAAGAACTCTTAAACGTAACAACATAATGTTTTCTGCACAAACCAGGTCTTATAAAGATGGGCATTCACTATGCAGTGTGCCATGAAATAAACATTGCCTAGGAATCGGCATTTTCATATTTCAGTTTATCAATTTTTGTTGCATTCGCACGAATGTAAACACTTACTTGCCAGGGCTGTCCATCCTGCTTAGCGAAAAGGGGGAACCAGGCTGAAATCTCCAAGGAACATTCTAAGCCAACATCCAGAACAAACCTGTGACTTTGACCCCCCGTCTAACATAATTGAACATGAGAGTACATAATGATACATGTGCAGTTCCCACATTGTTGAAATATGTTTCCACGAGCTTTCCTCTCACTTCAAGCAACTTATTGAAAGCTCGAGTATCCAAGTGGTAAGTGCACTGGACACAGTAATAGAATGTCCATGTTTCGAAACCTAAGCATAGTTCCCACACTCTTCAATAGAAGGCTTGATCTCGCTTTAACTCAGTACAACTTTTCTACCACGTAGATGTTGTGAAACTCTAGGAGGTTGCTTCAGGAACACGAGTTCCCACTTGTCACGAGTTCCCACTTGTCAGGTGTAGCACTGTCAAGGCTAACGAGGAAAAGTGTTTTCTAGTCCTAATTCCACAAACTTTATCACTTTAAGTTCTCAACCTGTGGATTCCTGTTTATAAGCAGATCAAACCAAGGATCATACATGATCAGTAAGTCTTAAAATCGTTTGCATAAATTGCCTTGCATTTACATTGTATATAAAACCAACATGAACCATGGTGATGTGTAGGCAGGAGCTCCAATACACCCTAGGTCAAGATATTGTCCGGGTTTATATATGTTGGAAGGGAAAGCGCATCTCCGTGTTAGTATTCCCTTGTTGGATATACATGTATTAAATTTGAGTAATTCCCAGATTTTTAGAAAAATGGGTTTCAACTGACACTCCACAAAAACTAGGTTATTTTGTGAAAATCACGGTACATATTTCAATAGTTCATTTGCGTGTACGGTCTTTAACAGAGGGTTGAAACTGGACAAAAGCCCAAGATTAGGCAGGCAACCCAACTCGGAATGTACAAGCACTCGGACACCAACTCCCGACTGACTCAAAAATAACCTTCCATGCACAATTATGAAAACACCGAAACGCATTCAATTCCTGTAGCAATAATTGACAAATCTAACTTAGAATATTAACTAATTAAATAATTACACAAATGATTTGTTTTAATTATTAAACAACCATGCATTAAATCACCGAATTGTGTCGTAATCTTGACTGGTCACACACAGTGGGTGGGGGATGGAACAAGTATCATTGGTTACAGAAATATTAAAATAGGATGATAATAAGAAGGCAGGTGTTCAATAATGATGGAGCATCAAGAGGGGAGGATCAAGTCCCATTGAAAGTGGGGATTACGTTCTGATTTCCCAGAAGATTTCGTGTTGATGATATCTAAGATTACACCAGATTTAGTCTTAAAGACCAGAGTCCGAGAATCATATAGCATTAACGTGGCTTAAATATCAAAGGAAATGGAGTAGCCTACTGACCACATGGAAAGAGAAAGTTGGTCTAAAGTAGGTGATTCCTTTGGGAATTTTGGCAGATCATCTACTGCTTGAACTCCCTATCTGCTTCAAATGGAACTACAGATCAGGGTCCAAATACTGAACTACAACAAAAGTGTGTTAGATATATGACCTTCTCTAATGAGAAGCGGTACATATGCCGTATTTTTGTTAAATGAGGAGGTGGGTGGACTGGGATTCCAGAAGACTAACCTATTGGGTAAAGTCTGAAAACTATATTACAACTGAATAGGCCTACAACTTTTAAAATTTTATAGAAGCATAAACAATGAGTTAACGTAAACATATCTGGTAAATATAGAAAAACGTATTTTAAACATTTTAATGGCAAACACGATTTGACGTGAACTCGTGAAGTCCTATTGGCGTCCCGAAAACCATAGTTTATAAATTCTCTCTATTCCTAAATCATCTGGAAAGTTTTATATAGGAAGCGATGTTGCATAACTTGCATTGCTGTAGCCTATTAATTCAAGTAAAATCTATAAGTTCGTAGGTCTACCGGCACACCAATTCCAAGGTTGGCCTACAAGAACGTTCAGAAAAATCTGATGTTCTTAAACGACATTAATAGGCACTGTTAGTTGTCAGTATTAGTAAGCACACGTGCATGCGACCCCCTTTGAAATGTTACGTGTTATACAGTTACTAAATATGAATTATATTGTAGCTATTCAAAAGTAAAAAGAGACTTCTTGTCTATAGATCGCATAAGTCTAAAATCAATTGGCAATGAGTTGTGGGGTTGGATGGCCAAGTGGTTAGCGCGTGCACGTTGTATCATAAGGTCTGTCATTGATTCAACACCGGCGTGGTGTCGATTTCCCGGTATTTCCCGGTTTCCTCCCACAGCTAAAGACCCCTACGCACAAGCGAATTATTGAAATAAAATTGAACCATATGTTAGTCCCGAAATGACCTAGTTTATGTCTAGTGGATGTTAAACCCTATTTGCCCGTCTCTCTCTGTGTCTCTCACTCGCAATGTCGCCTGTCCAACCTCGTGGGTTTTATCCGGGTCCTCCGGTTTCCTCCTACTGCTAAAGACCCCTACGCGCAAGCGAATTATTGAAATAAAATTAAATCACATGTTAGTCCCGAAATGACCTAGTTTGCGTCGATTGGACGTTAAAGCCCATCTCTCTCTCTCTCTCTCTCTCGCAATGAGTTCTTGGTAGGCTATAATAATCGGATGATTGACAGTATGTAATCGAGAAATATGATAAAGGGAGGTAACTACAATTTATATAAAAATAATCACTTCTCGTATTACATAAATATATTATTAATAATCGTTATTCAATTATGATTGATATAAAATTTCCTTGAATATTTAAGCAAATTCAAAATTGACAAAATTGACAAAACGGACCACTTTAATGTTGAATGCGTAGTAAAAATTGAATATATATCCCTGTAATATGTGAGTCCACCGTAGATGGCCGGTTGATGGGGATCAATACAGTGGTCAATTGAACACCAGACTTATGGCTGATTGATTTCATAGTACGGGAAGAGTTATTCTTCTTGATTTAATACCATTCTTCGTATATACGACGGAGAATACATTTTATATTCATTGAATAATTACTTTAAACTTAAGACTAAAATTTATTCCCTTTTATGATGTAGGCTACAATTCTATATATACTATTTTCTAATTAACAAAAAATTATGCTAAAGAATTGTTAATTCTAAAACTATATGATGCCAAGATTACCTTTCTAAATGTATTTCTCGCTATCTTCCTACAGATGTCTACCACCATTGCACAATATTTATATTAGATCAGAAGGTGATATTCAATATTTAACACGCCAATGATTCAAATAAATCTTTTTACTTTTATGTAATAAAAACAAAATTGGGAGAAGAAAACAGATAAAAAAGTTGAAATACAACACCTTTCTTGTATTATCAAACACACTAGAAAAACATACTTTTTCTTTTAAAAAATACAAGCACACCCACATGGTATAATTTGTTCAGTATTTCATATCTCGATGTTAAAACTGTGTTTTGTGTTTGTGACGATTTGTATAAAATGGAGTAAAAACTATCAGTTACATTGACAGTTTTGTTTTTCATGTAACAGTCCACATCATAATCTCACGTGTAGGTGTTAAACTTTTTCGAGTGTTTTTTTTTTTCTTTCAACCAAAAAAGAACAACGAACGTCTTTCTTTTTAAACTTTTGCTGTCTTTGCCCTTACAAACTGCCCTTCTATTTAGCTGTAATCAATTATGGGTGACGTGCACAAGAAAAGGTATTTATTTATTTGGTATCTCCAGTTCACCCGGGAGCCACGGAACCTCAGTGAATAAGATTCCGGTGCTGGCTGAGAAAGTTCATTAGAATTTTCTTGCGTAGTCCCCCGTGTCAGTGGTGCAGGATGGGGGTGCCTGGCAAGGGGCAACGTTTATTTTTTGGATGGATCGCAAAACCGTGATCCCATGTACACATTGGCGTGGACGTCAAAGGCAGTTGGAATTCGAAATAAGCCGTACAAATTTCCCTCATTGCACACTGTATGGCGTATGCCCTCTTAAATAGCCCAGGCGGTGCAAACCAGTAGAACGTTAAGTCCCATTTCATTTCATTTTTCCAGTTCACCCGCACGTTATGTCTTTTAAACCTTATTATGATCTTATTACTGTTCCCCTTCCCCTCACCACTTCCCACATTCAAACTACGTTCATATTAAATTGGAAACCATTATTTTCAGCTTAATCGGAGCCTGGTGATATTCGGGAGAAAACCTACACAAATCTAGGCACCCGAATCTGTGTTCACCCACACCTACCACAAGCCTGGGTTCAAAGCAAATGAAATGAAATGAAATGAAATGGGGTTTAACGTCCTACTGTTCTGCTCCTAAACTGGGCTAATGAAGACGGGCATACGCCATACAGTGTGCTATGAGGAAAATTTTGCCCGGGCAGCGGCGCTACGGCCTACACTTATATCGAATTCCAACTGCCAAGGGATCTTTTACGTGCACGTCAATATGTACAAGGGACCTCGGTTTTTCGTCCCATCCGAACGACTAGACAGCTGTCCTTGTCAGGCCCTCCGTCCTGCATCACTGACAAGGGGAAACCACGACGGAAAATTTGGATGAACTTTCTCGGCCAATGCAGGGATCGAACACCCGACCTCTGGGTTCAAAGCGCCAGGACAGTAATGACAGATCAGAGAGAGAGAGAGAGAGAGAGAGAGAAATGGGGTTTAACGTCCACTCGACACAAACTAAGTCATTTCGGGACTAACATATGGTTTAATTTTATTTACCTAATACGCTTTCGGTAGAGGTCTTTAGCAGTGGGAGAAAACCGGAGGACCTAGAGAAAACCCACGAGGTTGAATGATAGACCATAGTATTGGAATGATAGACCAATACTATGCAAACTACATGTCCCAGGATATTCGATTTTGATCAGTTTTATCTGGTGGTTTGTCTATATATAGACTGAAATGAATTATCTACCTTTGAACACAAATCAGATTCAGATTGATTTTATATATAGATAGCTAAAGGCTGATGTTTTCAATAGAAAATATGATTTGGATTTCAGAGTCATTTGGATGAAGTTTTGATGGGAGTTCAGGTACTGTTTTGGGTGAAATTTTGATATAGTTTAGGTTGTTTGTTTTTGTTTTGTTTTTTAAGTTTCGATAGAGTTTATTGTGTTCTTTTGAGTCGAGTTTGATCGAGTTCATGTGTTCTTTTTGGGCGTAGTTTTGATAGAGTTTATGGGTTCTTTTGGGTATTGTGTTAGAGTTTTGAAGTTCTTTAGTAGGCAATAAGATTTACAGTAGTTGCAATTAAAAGTAAGGACCTTTTCACTCTATAGATTTAAGAAATTAAATTCAATTTAATTAAAGTGACAACTTACTTTGTGGGCATAAACTAGTTGTCATCTCCCTTAAATAGTGTTTTCATTGGGTTTAGGCAGTGACATGTGCCATATTCAAGACCAATAGAAGACCAGTTAAATAACTTTAAGAAAATAATTGTTTCTTGAAGGACAGGAGCATTTCATCAGGTTAGTCAACTGGCTATTAGTGTGTACATGATAATAATGATGGTAATGATGATGATTTCATCGAGCCATCTGCTAGTGTAGATTGTTCCAGAGTCTTTGACATTGATATGATTAATCTACAGTTCTTGGTCAAACCTCGGAACAATGGCACGAAAACCACGTGGAGGTAAACCCAGCTAAATGATAGCCAAATTATATCGCCATTAATTAAAAGTTCCGTCTGTCCGGTGATGATTAGAATGAGATTTTAATACAGCAGAAGTCAAGGAAATGATGTAATTCCATGCTAACTGTTGCTGACTGCTAGATAATGAGACTTGTTGACAGGGGGTTTGTTGAAGAAGAAAGACCACTTGATAACCATGACAGACAATCACAAAGACGGGTAATAGCTTGTGAAAGTGATACACATTATTTACAAATTTCCATTTTTCTCTTTATCTTGTCGATTATCAAGATTTGCCTCAGGTTGAAGGGAAGATGTTACGAGTGATAATATTAAAATGTATCAGTGTAAACATTAAAATGTCCCTTTTTTATCAATTTGTTTATTGACCTACTGTTAAATAGAATGTAAACTTTAAAAGGCTAGAACTTACGTTAAATTTGATTGATTTAAATACTTTTTGGACTAGAATTTTTTTTTTTAAAAGAAGTACTTTGTGTAGTGTTTGGTCCATGATCTATATTTAACCTTTATTCTAGCATGCTGGGGCTTTAAGAATTCATCAAAAGATAATTTGGTGTGGTTATTAGTATGGAGGACAAGGTTTGTGTTGGGTGGTTTGTGGCAAGCTGGGGGGGGGGGGCATCTTGATTACAACCGCTGTTTGATGCCTGGGTGGATCAAAGGTGCGACCCTCGGGTCTAGTTACAAGTAGATCATTGAGGAGAGGTGTGAGACCTTTCATTACATGCTGACTTGAAGACAAGACGGCTCACAAAAATAAGTCACAGCCTAAAGACCCAGATTCTTACAATCAAAACTCCCGCACAGTTCCCATGGGGTAAGAATGATTAGCTGAATGTTAATCATACAATCAGTAAAACTTATTTTTTGCTACTTTGCAGAAAATTGTGCTGTTACCTCAGAAGTAATTGATATTGTTCAATTTGCTGGACCCTTCCTGAAATGCTAGGGTGACTGCACTATGGATCCATATATTATTAATATTGAGGGATTCCCCCCTATATATTCTTTGCAAGCTTCCATTGGCAGAAATGGGGAACTTTTAGGTAACAAGATGTTATTATAGCCCCGGATTCGGGCACCTATTAATCAATGAGAGTAGTGTCTGGGGATGATTCTTTTGATGACTTAACTCCAAATTGTACTTTGGGAACCTGTTCAGAAAAAGCTCTTGTTAATGAATCTAACTTTTGTAATGTATATCATTGAATAAAATAAAATACCTGACTAACATATGGTACTATTTTTCATTTCAACAATTCACTTGCAGGTACAGGTCTGTAGCAGTGGGGGAAAACTTGGGACTGAAACCACACCATTTGACTCAAGGCGCACATAAGACCACTTGATCACACACACACACACACACACACACACACCCGCCCCCCAAAATAAAAGGGGAGCCAGAGTGGCTCACTGAGTAAGGCGTTGGCTTGATAATCTGGAGGTCCTGGGTTGGATTCTGGTTTTGGCAGAGATAGGTCACTGGAGTTGTTTGGATGGCACAAAAGAGCAAGGTTTGGTCAACAATGTGGTGACGTTGATGAACATGTAAAAGAAACCTTGGAATTCAATCGCTGTCTAGGCGAAATTTCACTGGTAGCACACTACATGGTTTATGCCAGTCTTCATTATCTCGGTTGAAGCAGAAAAGTAGGACATTACATTCCTACCCAAATAAAAAGAATATGTATATTTGTATTATATTGTTGTATTCTAAGTATGTTTTATTTTATATACAATATAATTAACAATAATTTAATCAATCATTATACATATATTTATTATATACAATTTTATAGCACTATTAAATGTTCATTGTCCATTTATATTATTTTATTAATTAATTTAATGATTATTATAATTGTTATTAACAACAAAATGAGACAATGACACAAGCATCGCTTTAATTACTCTATTGCACATCTCATACATTTCAATCATACTGAACATTCAATCCTATTTAATATAATTCACTCTGTCTTAAACAAATTTCATCATTTCAGAACTCCTGTCATAAACAAATTTCATCATTCAGAACTCCTGTCATAAACAAATTTCATCATTTCAAAAATGTCAAACAAATTTCATCATTTCAGAACTCTGTCGTAAACAAATTCTTAATTGAACTGATAATCAAAGTCGTAATAGAAATAAATGCATATTTAAAATAAGCCTTAAAGAATGGGAAAAGTGTGACATAGAACCATTACTCCAACAAACATCTATTCAAGACCATCTTCTTTTGCACATGCTAAATGGTACTCGCATTGTCTGTCAAGAAAAAGTATTTAGTTACACTCAAAATGAAATTAAAAAGTGTATTTTTTAATTAAAGAAACTATTTTGTTACAAAGTAATTACCATAGACAGATGTATATTCATTCATTCATTCGATGCTGATTTATGTGAAGCATTAATTAATACTAAGTTCTATATTTATAGCTGGCCTTAAGATATAGGCATTACTAATTGTCAGTGATATTTTAAAATTTGGATTATGCAATATGTCAGTATTCTTTGTGTTCGTTGCGGTGAATTCTATACACTGGGTTTTTTTTAACTAAACATCTCTGTTGTGATTTATCAATATCTTTATCTTCGCTAAATACAGACACAAAGCGTAACGATACAAATAAACTTCCATTTTTTCATCAGCACAATTCCTCCGTTTTGTTCTATATATATATGTATATATGATCACCTTCAGCAGTTTCTAGTATTAGTTTTTATCACAAGCAAAAATATTAAAGTCTTAAAATCACCATCACGGGACACGATTATACTACTGTGGTTCCAGGACCAGTATCTTTAAAGAACAAATTGTTTATATCATCACATAATGCATATGCATTGTCTATTGTGTAACTCCCAGACGTCGTCGTCGAGCAGTTGTCCTCATTGACAGACTCTGATATACTGTTATTATAATTGTCACTATAAGAACTGGGAGGATACGCATTTCTCCCACGGTGATGATTGGGGTGGGATTTAGGTTCGTAACCATTCACAGAGTTTTTGGAGTTTCTAAAACTATTAGCGATATTTCTAGATACAGTGTCCCTTGGATGAGGATTATGCTCGTTATGTAAGTAAACTGGAGTTCTTGGTACTGACACTGGAATGGGCGACTGGCTCTTCTTGTTATCCGAAAAACGAACTCTTTTACTGCCGTTGTTCTGAGGAGACATAAAAATTTTCGGCTCATCTGAAAACAGAGAAAAAAACAGTTTGTTAGTCAATATTGTCACATTCAGAAGAGGAATTTGGAAAAATCCAAAGACATAAAGACACAACCCAGAAAAAGTGTGACGATATTACTTGAGAATAGATGAGATAAGGCAGCCGAAGGGATGTTTTTCCACGTTTAATTTAACTTGGCAACACTATGTCTTTAAGTCATGGTGAAATTCAATAACTTTAGACATTAACAAGTGAATAGGGAATATTGCCATTTCCGAATTGGACAGCACTAAACCAACAAGTCGTTGCTGCTCATTTGAAAAGCCGTAAAGCAGGAATTCCTTAAGGAAACCTTCATAAGACGTCTCATCTTAACAAATTAACCGGACCTTTTATCAAGTTGTCGCGGAATCAATATTGCAGACATGAATCATAAAGACAATATCTCGTCTACTAAAACTTTGACAATTCAATTGGCGGGACGGTGATACTATCATTTTCTTGTATATTCATTTTACGATCTTGTTTTACAGTTCAGTGGGGATAGGATATGAAATGAGAGACGACAGAAAACCAATTTATTTCCGCACGTTACTGCCACGAAGTAGCCAATATTGAAAGGTGGTTTCCACTATAGAAAACTGATCAACTGTATCCATCACTAATCAAACCGAAGAGTTTTTCCATTTCGTGTTCCATTGTTTTTCGATATCAAACAGCATTAAATCAGAGAAAGTTGCAAACTAACGAAAGTTTTGTCTCCATCAATCACACTGTTTCTCTTATTACTCAGACAGATTCCATTTAAATCCTGAGGAATCAATCTTTTTTCGCATGGAAAATTTCATCAGTTGGGATTTTATTTCAAATGATTTCACATGTTTTTGAGAGGAATCAAGAAACAAAGCCACCCATCTTATTATTTTTGTCCTATTGGAATATTGGATACGGTTTTTGGTTTACGCTAAATTAAAGTTTTCTATTATTTATTGGATCAAATATGAAGTAAGGTCACATGTCTGGGTTTTTAAAATAATAGGATAAAGCATTTATATCAGATTTTTTTGTGCGTAATAGGATTTGGAATTAAGATATGGTTTGAGAAAATAACAGTTTAAAAATTGGATTATTTTAATTTACAAAAAGACTTTTTGTATTAAGAATTTTATTTCTTACATTTTCAAATTATAATTCTCGTGTTTTTGATAACAAAATATTTTCGGCCTTGGGGTATCAGATAAAATTCTCATATTTCTATTATTAGAAATGTGTACATCAGAATGTAGCCATTAAAAGTCCACTTCAAGTGAGAATTAAAATGTACCTTAAAATATTACATATTTATTCACCCCAATGCTTTTAATGTTTATTTAAAGGGAGCGTGAATGTTTCTCAAGGGGTGGTCTCATGTCTATATGTATTGTATAGAATTATGTACCTGTCATTGCGGACATGGTATTGGTACTGGGTAACCATATTGTCTTACTAAAATATCAATATTATAATGAAATAGCTTCAAGCTAATTCTATAGTCTCAGGCTATTTCACTTATCATCATCGGCTCCTTGACAATAGCCATGTTACATAATTTTAATAGCCTTCTGAATCAATTTCTAGGTAACAAGTACTTGAAACTTATTCAACCGTAGCATATGTTGAAGATCTCATTAGCTTTATTTTAATGGTATTTGACAATGACCCCGGGCAGTATGCAAAACAACTCCTCGTGTTGTTAGCATATTGTGTGTCAATTTATTACGCTCTGCGACATATTCATCATGTAATACAAGGTAATAACATAGATAGCCCCGCAGCAAGAAAACAGCCTTGTCGTGAATTTTACAACAAAAATGTTATAGTTTATCTGACAAAACACTATATTAAAGCAGGAAGTTATGTATGTCTAAATATTAATTAACCCCACAAAAATATATTTATTAAATGACTAAAACTTCTAATAGTCAATGACTACCGTTGTATTACAAACTTTTCAGGAAGTATTTAGATATCTTAATCATCAAAGAAAACACCTTTTTCTCAGTAAACCAACTGAACCTCAGACTGTGCTATTCCGAGTACTTCAACCAAACAGTTATGTAATTTCATGTCGAATATTTTGAAATGAATACTGTTGGTGCAGGTAAATGTTTATGAAATTAGAGATATAAGCTCACGATGTGTGCATTATAGATGATTTATTTCAATCCTTTTTTATGCTAAATACATTTCAATGGCAAGATGTATACCTACTGCAAATACAAACAGATAATTCGGTAAAACGGTGCATTCAAGTTTTGAACTCATAAAAATAACAAATAAATTTTGAATTGCCATTGCATGTGTGAAAGTGAGAGTGCAACATGTATGTACAATCTTTCTTTACTTTAAATATATTTCTATAGGAAGATTTCTATAACAAATTGGTAAAATGGTGCACTGAAGTTTTGAATTCTTATGAATAACAAAGAATTGTAAACCACGAATTTATATTTGAAATGGGAGGCATGGTCTTGCAACATTAACTGATTAGTATTTTTTGAAAGCTAATTATATTTCAACAGGTAGATGCATACATAACACATAAGAATAAATAGAAAATAATATTTTATTTCATGGAGGGGGGGGGGGGGAGGGTGTGAGTGAACTGGATGACGAGAAGACATTAAACTTCAGCAATTAACTATTTGTTTGGATATCGTTAATTAATCACCTCGTTATTTCACCCAAGTAAAACACTTGTGATGACTTAATGTAATCAAGTATGTAAATATAGAGATTATCATTATGACAGGTTTACGGGGGATGAGATAATAAAGATACTCGAGACATTTACAGGGCTAACCGTTTATAACGAAAACCAATCAACCAAAGCTAACATGACATGGCTTTATTTATCTAAATCTTTTCTTTTAAAAATTTGCCCTTCAGCTTATTAACAGCAAGCAATTCATGACATAAGCAGGTATTTTTTTGAGTGGTAATTCACACTTTTTCAACTACTTTAGTTTTGCCTGTGGATTGTGGGAGGGGGGTGGTCTATTATTGCCATTATACAATATTGGATCATAAGGGTATTTATATTGAATACCCCATAATGATGAAATTTTCTCGCTAACTTGAAGAAGACTTGCTCCAGGTGATAAAACCCAAGCAAAGCTTATCACCTACTTTACTTTCTTTTGTCTAAGTGACAAATCCACTATTATTTTAATCGTGTAACAATTTCACAGTTAGCTTAATTGATAATAGTAATTTTAATGGTGGCTATATATCCTATGGGGCTTGGAATTGTACCTTTATGAATAGCTATAATGACTCAATCATACGTGGAACAAGCCAAACCATAGTTTCACCACTAGCTTTAGGGTACAGCATTTTATTTCAATAATACTCGCACAGCACACAAGGTACATACTCGAAATATGACCCATATAGGTCTGCAGGTGTTCAATTATTTCTTTCTTTCTATAGACTCTTTTTATAATGTTATGAAAATCTTGTCAAAATTGATTTTTTATTTTTCGCCTAAGAATACAAATGATATGGCATGTAACCTTTAGTCTATAACCCTTAAGGGGATGTTTGTTCACATAGTATACTTATAGTCTACCGGTATTATTTTTACATTATTTGAAACTAAGGCTGATATATTTGGATATCAATTTTATTCCCAAACTATATTATCATCCAAACCAAATTATGGAATTCAAACTATTTTATAGTACAGACCTGGACAACCCTATTATGGCCATTTTTTTTCAGTTTAAATTTTATTTGAAAATTATAATATGTTAAAGTACAAACCTGGATCACTATGGTATATCTTACTGTCTTCTTCACTAGTGCCACGCCCACTGTCTCGATCGGTTCCTCCGGAAAGTTGACTGGAGGAATCTTCTGGAATTTTTGTTAAAGTCTGAAAAATATAAAGATCAATATAAAATTGAGTGCCAAACTTTATATAATGGACTACAGAACTACTTGTGAACAAACAACCCCTTACTCCCAAAACAACTACCTCAGGTATCTCCAAATATGGCATTCTGAAAGAATAAAGCATACACTGTCTCATGTATGTTACCTGTTAAGAGTTAATTCATGTAATTAAACCTGTTAAAATTAAATTGTCATACCTGATTTTCAAGCCACATATGAATGTTGGGACTGTCGTAAGGGTTTTGTACTGGTTCAACGTGATGGGTTGGGGTTGTTCTTCCTTTTAAAGACTGGGTTGACCCATTTTTTCCAGAGCTCTGCAAAATATAAAGTCATCAATTAGATATTTTAATCAATAATAACAACTGATTAAACAAAGATAACAAAAATAACAAAACTGTCAATCAAGATTTCACTAGGGTAATAAATATTTAATTATTGTGTACATAGACTGATGCCACAACAAATGAACTCAGTTACATCAAAGCTGATGCAAAACTTTTGAAATTTTTTTAAAACAATAAGGAATAAATGAGGAAATTGACATGTGAAGCTGTCTTTGTTAAGTTTATGTTATAGATTTCAATCAAAATAAAATATTAATGACTTTTGTTTTGGATAAAAGATCAAATTTAGGCCACACTAATGTGAGGTTTTGTTGAGGCTCTTAAGAAGTAAATATTTAATTAATTTGGCCTTAATAGGAAATTATGCATGGTACTTTATTTTTGGTTAAAACCATGCTAATTCCCCTTAACTTTTATCCTATGAGAACCCAAATAAAGGCTGTTTAGCTAATAATCTCTTATGTCATCAGAATTTGATTAAGGAAAAGATGCATCTATTTAATTAACAATTGACCACTTTGATACATTCACTTGTTAATCTGAGTAAATCTCTTAATCTGTCGGCTTTTACACATTGGGCCGATTGACCAATAGAGGTAATTACACAACAAACATACGTCAGGGTATTGACGAGACCAGCGGCCTGTTAAAACGTAGCGAGAATTAAAATACTTCACACGTTTAAACTGATCTAGTTTGCCCGCTCATTTACCCAGCTTTAACGCTTCCTGATTTTCAAAGTTGAAGATCTAGTGGAAAGATCATGTGACGTTGACATAATATCACCATGGTAATCTGTTAACTCTCTGACCACAGGCTTTATGTACGGAATCTCAGAACAAGCAAACATTAAATGCAACTTTTGTCATCTTTTGTGACTGTAACGGCAACAGAACACACTTTTAACGCACGCCGTAGTTATTTAGACATGAGGGTTAGGCATGTTCCTTCGAGTTTGAAGCCCAATTATGAAAAGTTAACGCAACAAAACCTGACACGTCTCGACAAATAGTTTGTTAGTACAATAATTGTTGTACGTTAAAAGGATTAATTTGTACACAAGGGGAATTGAAGTAACGGTCAAATAAAATGATCCGAACGTGCGTACTACCCTCTCACACCCTCGACAGCAGACATGTTGTATTTGTAACTGTGTTAATGGATTTAAAACATGGCTGATTAGACGAAAAACAAGGAACAAAAAAGAAGATTTTTAAATAAACTATGAATGCAAAATATACACGTTTCTTTACAATTACACATTTCTGACGTCTCCTATTGAATTAAATTATATGAAATATGAATCCAGCGTCAACATATGTTATTTGAAAGCAAGTCGTCTAATTTGGAAGACCTTCTATTCAGTGTAACTGGTACACCCACATTAATTAAAGAAACTAGATTTAAATTAAATAGAATGCTTCTTTATCTGGCAGATGTAGAACTTTTCCCATGCTTATAAAAATGGACGAATTTATCTCACGATAAAATTTCGTGAATGGATTTATTTGTAAGATTAACATAATACCTATTTGTATTAGATTTCAATAAACTTGTTCAAATTATATTTATATGTTATCAGCTATCAACAACATCGACCCTCAGACCTGAACGAACAGACGGCTAGTTCTTTCCTGGGCAAAGATCATTTTTCACCAGAAACGTGAAAATATAGTTCTAGGTTTGTTTTTCCATTCATCCATCTTGTTGGATAAGCAAAAAATGTATAATAAATGAAAACTAATTTTAAGCCAAAAGGCCTAAAAATAATCTAAATTTAGCCTCGCTTATCAAAATAATCAGCATTAATTCTGTTTGAACAACTTTTCTTTAAGATCTTTCCACTATACCCATATTATGCCAAATGTTTTTATCTAGCCATGTTTTGTATTTCTAACAGAAATAAACAGTGAAGAGAGGTGATGAGTTATATGATGGTATAGCCATTAATATTTAACACAACACCTTCTTCATTTTGTTATCACTTTTACAAACAATAAAGACTGTTGTAAATAACATGGTACTATTCACAACTCCTGGATGTTACAACAGTTGAGTTTCACACAGATCTGTACCCTCTGTCAACTTAATCAGAATCTTGTCAATATATCCTTTTTGACTGTAGCCCATTATTACTCAAAATCAGACTTTCTTTGACAAGGTTAAAAAGTTCAAATTCTTGTTATAAGTTAACAATTAATACCAGATAGATAGTCCTCAGATTTAACTTTTACATCTTAATATAGTAACCAGGACCGTAACTAGCTCAGAGCAACGAGGGGGGCGCGGGAAGTGTTCTCAAGGATGCTGTAAAATTGATGGACAATGTAGATCTATTTTCTTTATGGTTGACAATGTTTTCACAGAGGGGTGTGGGGGGCAACTTTCTGCAGGGGGGGTCGGGGGGCTTCATACCCCCTGCACCCCCCTAGTTACGGGCCTGATATTAACCAGGTACATTTCTCAATCTTCTGAGGAAAAGGGTGATATCTCTCATACATGTAGGATAATGCACTATGGTAAAACAAAATCTAACCTAGAGATGTCATAAAATAATTACTTACCTTTAAGAGTCGTTGTTCTATTGAAGGAAATGGTAAAGACTGCATGGAGGAACTGCCATCAGACGACACACTCTCTAACGTATGTAATCTTTCTGGTTTTAACTGTTTATCAGCATCATCATTACCCTCTGAGGTAGAAAATGTACTTTCAGATGCAGGACTATCATATCTCACGCTTGCCAAAGCATGAGCTTTATCAGCAGCAGTCTTCTTTCTATTTTTGTCGATTTTATAAATGATAACAATGATGCAAAGGATGGTCAGTGCCAAAACCAATGTAACCACAACAATTGTTATAACAATAGCAGAGTTATCTTCTCCTTGTTTAGCCTCTCGTTGACTCTGAAATGTTGCCAGACTACCATTACCAATAGTAACAACGATGTTCAACTCAGAATATGTTGTCTTGGGTTCATCACCTTTGTCACGAACAATGATCTCTAATGGGTATTCCTTGGAATCTTCGAGTCGCATCATGTTTTTAATAACTATTTGACCAGTCCGCTTGTTCATAACAAAGATATTTTTGTCATTGCCTGTCTGAATGCTGTAAACTAACTCCCCATTTCTATCTGTATCCAAATCCGTTGCTTGGATTTGGGCAGCTACACTTCCAGCTGTTCTTGTATAAGGAATATATATGGTATTGTTAATGGCGTTAGGAAAACTAATAATTGGATTATTGTCATTATCATCCAATACAAAAATAGTAACTCCCGCGTTATCATTAAAATCAACATTCCCTGTATCGGTTACTGTCACAGAAAAATCAAATTTATATTCAACTTCACGGTCAAGCACCCTTCTCGTCTTAACAATACCGGTACTAGGTTCAATTCGAAAATAGTCCTCCACACGCGAATTTCTATCAGTGAAAACGAACAGCAATTTTGAATTTGCTTCATCATCTAAATCGGTTACATTTAATTTACCAACAACTGTTCCTATTGGCTGATTTTCCAATATTTGTAAATTAAAATGAGGCTGATTGAAGAAAGGAGAGTGATCATTTTGATCACCAATGATAACCATGACGGCAACGGTCGAACTCCTCACAGGTGAACCAAAGTCCCGAGCGACAATTTTAAACTTTACATTATCAATTACTTCACGATTGAAAACTTCATTGGCTCTGATCACACCTGTGTCTGATTCAATAGAAAATAACATGTCAAAATCATCGCGTTTTTCATAAGACAACTTTGAATTTAGATCACTATCCTTGTCAGTAGCCGTTATTCTAAATACAATGTCGTTTATTTTGTTGTTTTCCATGAAGGTGACTCTGTATTCTGGTTGAGTGAAAATTGGTGCGTTATCATTGACATCCGTAACAGATAATTCAAAACTCGAGAAGCTTGTTCTCACTGGTCGACCTTGATCATGACATGTGACATTGACCACATGATTGTGTGCTTTTTCAAAATCCAGCGCTTCTCTCAATAAAATTTTATAAATATAAGAAATTTCCGAAAATTTGTCCAGCTGGAAATGTTGGTCTGGAATTTCACAAGATATGGCCCCATTGGCGCCACCATCATTATCCGAAACAGAAACAGTAGCTATAAAAGTTCCAATATCTGTATCTTCTGAAAGCATTGTTCCACTTGGCGGTAAATTAATATTTACTGTTGGAGCATTGTCATTCACGTCTTCGATATTAATTGTAACAGACGCCTGATCAAATTTTGAAGGTGATCCATTGTCATTGACTTGAACATAAAATTCAAAAGATTTTTCAACTTCATAATCAAAAGGTTGTATGGGATAAATAGCTCCAGAAGATGCGTCAATAGCCATAAAACTTCTAATCCTGTCCGATGTTCGAGCACTGAAAGAGTATGTCAGCTTACTATTGGACCCAGAATCAGGATCGATGGCCAAAACCTGGAGAATCGGAACATTAAGTGGAGCACTTTCCAAAACAGTTTCTTCAAAACTATTACTGATAAACTGAGGTTTATTGTCATTAACATCTGTGACGTGAATCTGAATCGTGACATTTCCTGATTTTTGAGGAGTTCCTCCATCTTTGGCAATTAACACAATGTTGAATGAATTTTTGGTTTCTCTATCCAAGGCATGTTTGACAACAAGACCCAGATCAGCTGTTCCATCAGGATTATTCATCACATTGAGCGAAAACATACCTTCTGCAGGAACTATCTCATAAGTTTGTATTCCGTTAAGTCCCACATCAGCATCCTTTGCGCCGCTTGTTAAAATTTCTTGTTGTATTGCTATGGATTCGGCTACATATAAAGTGACATCAGCTTCTGGAAAGATAGGGTTGTTGTCGTTGATATCCTTAAGAACGATCAGAACACGGAGGATTCTCTTCAAATCGGTGACTTTATTGCGAGTAAGATAGACACCTACATCAAGTTGCAGTTCACATTTTGGAATTTGTCCGCAAATTACTTCACGATCTAATACTTCAGCAGAGCGGATTGTACTCGTTGTTTTATTAATAGCAAATTTATTTGCATCGTCTTGTTCAAAAGCTGCATACGTCAAACTATTGAATTCCTCAGCAGTAAAATTTACGTAAATTTTTGCATCTCGAGCGATATTACCTACATAAGTTCCAACTATTTGCTCTTCCTGGAAATCATACGTAAGGTGAAATTGTGCAGAAGCAATTCCCAGCAGGAACGAAAGTGTAAATACAGTTCTCATTGCCATTTTGAATTTTTTCAACACTCCAATCATATTAAACATAAATATAAATCATAATAAATTTCCAAGATTTTTTTTGCACAATTTTCCTCAGAACTTTGAAATATCCATTAAATTGAACAGACTTAAGCACAGCACTTCTGAAAACTTTTCATCAAGTTGTCTTCTTATCTACTTCCACTTTATCCACTTATCATCTCCTCTTGACCAGACCTCTGTCCACTGTGAAGTTTTAATGTCGTCTGCTTTTTGGTTAATGACATCTGCCACTAATGTCCGCCCTCAGTTGTTGCCTCAAGGACCTGCAACATAGACAAAAGAGATTAATAACACTAGATCTGATTGGTGGAAATGACACAATAGCCAATTAATGTATCAAAGCCTGACCACTCACCTTACTGCAAAAGGGGGTTGCAGTAATAAAACTTGAATTAAAATTTCAAGCACAAGTTGTTAAGGCTTGATTCCATGCCATAATGAAGACAGGAAGATAAGACAATGTACACTGAAATCAGTTAAATTGGTAACTTTAACCATATGGTCAAAAACAATAAAATATTTGACTGGTAACAATCAACAGATCAACCATTGTAATGGCGACCATCAAAGAAGTTACTACATAATACTTCATTGATACAAGGGGAATAAAAATATTGAACAATCTACAAAAGAATATTTTGGTGATATTTAGTGGATGGGAATTCTATCATCTGATGACAATATAAAACCTTTTTGTAAACCAAATCATATTCAAATTTCATTCAGGATCAAAACTGTTTACGGTTGTCAATACAATTCATGACCTGGATCAAAAACCGACACTAAAAAATTCTGCAGATTAATGTCTCAAAAGTGAGAGAAATCAGAATTGTTGATTTCTACATTATATTAATCTACCTAAACATAAGAGTCTGGTTGACTTAAATGATATTTAATTCAGATGAGATAGACTGGTAATAAGTAGTAGAGATTCTGAACAAGTCAAGGGCTAATATTAATTCATGCACTTCTTTAACCGACTAATTATCATACAGTTTATACAACTAAATCTATAAGAGCGTTTCTTATGCTTTATAAAATAACTATGATATACTGAAAAGACCATCTTCATTAGCCCAGTCAGTGTGGAAAAGTAGGACAACAAATCCCATTTCATTTCACACTGAAAAGAGTTAAGTTGCCCAAGTTCATATCTATGTCATATATACTTATGGTATCCTGAACTAGTAAGATATTAAATAGTATATGCAACTTTTAGCAAGATTAAAAATGCAATACAGGTTATCTTATTATCCAACCATTCATTTTAAAAGTTTATAAAAAAAATTATTGATAAAAAAAAACAGTCCAACAAAGATTTTTTTTAAAATGTTGATAAAAAATAACTGCTTTACATAAGATTTTGTGAAACTGAAGCCCCATATTAAGAAACTAACATGGGGTCACTGTGTGCAAGTTTTATCAGTTAGTATTAAGACTTTATAGATAACTACCAACTTCAAGATTAGATAGTAAGTAATTGGTAGGTTCTCCGATCCTGGGAGGTAGACAAATTACCTAGTATCTATAACTTCTTGTGTATCCTTACATATATATTATACCAATTAAAATACAACTGTGTCTACACAAGTTTAACATCATGACCTGGATTCATTGCCTTTTTAAATATTGTGATGCGCAATTTGTATGGAAAATATTCAGCCGTACTGACATTAGTAGAGTACTTTGTTCGTCATTTATGATTAAAATCTGAATGTGTAATATTCATGTTTGTTTAAAATATGTATATGATAATAATCATTTCATTTCAAATCTAATTTTCAAAATACAACCTTTTGCCATGCAAATGAGATATATGCATTAGCCTACATATCTGGCTTTAAAATACAATAGCGACCCTGTGTATAACATCAAAATTTCAAAAATAATTCTACTTATATTATTATGGAATGTTGAATACGTATTTGAAATATTACATTTAACAAAGTTTCAATTGTACAGGATGTGTTATATTCAAATATGAAATGATTATTTTGTTTCTTTCACTGGCATTTGAACAGTAACACACTAAAATACTACCATATATATGGAATAACAATTACTGGTTTATCAGTATCCAACAATTTCAATGATTGCTTGATAAAGTGAAATGAAATGAAAGGAAATGGGGTTTAACGTCCTACTGTTCTGCTATGTGTGTTAATGAAGACGGGAGCCATGCAGTGTGCTATGAGGGAAATTTTGCCCGAAGAGCGGCACTACGACCTCCTCTTATATCGAATTCCAACTGCCAAGGGATCTTTTTACGTGCATGCCAATGTGAACACAAGACATCCGTTTTTCATCCCATCTGAATGACTAGACAGCTGTCCTTGTCAGGCCCTCCGTCCTGCACCACTCACAAGGGGAAACCATGCCAGAATGTCCTGCTTGATAAAGACAGGAGTACCATCTAAACATTGAATGTTAATAAGCCAGTAATTATTATTCCATATATAGGTTCTTTTAAATGTATACCTAGACTGGACTTTAAAATAATACTTTTTATAATAGCTTCTCTTATTTTAAGGATACATGAAAGACCACTTTAATCAGACCACCCTGTGTTTGATTAATTAGCACTAATTATTATTATAGAGATAGGGGTAATTAACCATATTGGTAGAAAAGGATCAGTTAGTTCAGATAGTCGTAAAGTCAATGAGTAGTTTATGATAGCAAGAAGGGACAAGTTTTACTGATATACGTCAGTGTGAAATACTAAGCCAAGTGTTGATCAAGTCCCTTGTTGTACCCCCTGCGCCCCTTTAACACATGTACTGTTAGTTTCAATATAGTGTTAATTTTCTTATGGTGTGTAGTTTCATACCTTGAATGCCTACTAACACAGTGTCATGCCCAGCTGAGTTCAAACACTTACAGAAATATTTGGACATATTTTAGAGAAGGCTGTTAACATTATATTAAAAAATAAAATCCTATAAAATGACTTGCTTACACAATGACAATTCTTAACATGATAGAAGCAAAGGGAGGCATTTTATAATAAAAATATTTTGTATGCTTTTCAATTTAAAAGCCAGCCAACTGACAATCTTATACAAATAAAGTTAGTTATTGTTACAAAAACATAATAATATTTATAAAGAACTTAATATTTTTAAAATTGGAAAAATGTGTTTCAAACTTTACCAGTAGAATATGACAAAGAAAAAAACTTACTATTATAAAGATTGGAAAAATGTGTTCAAACTTCAATTTTACCCATAAAATATTATGAAGAAAGAAACCCAAAACTTAAATTTAAATAACTTACGACAGTATTATTTAATATAAAGTTATTCCTACATGATTCATCCCTCAAACTAATGCAGATAAAAAGAGGTATTTCAGTACAGTACATATCAGAGATTTCCTGAATATGAATGAAAATGGGGGGCTTAGAGGTAGTGAATGTCTAAAGTATGTGTTAGATTTTATTCATAAGAGAGAGGAAACCGACAATTGTACAGGAAAGAATGAAACTATTTAACTTCTGACAATGAGACCTATTGATGTCAAACCCTCCTCAAATCAACCTCGTTCTATAAATCAACGGATACAAAATAGACCCTTTGATAATACATTTATCATAGTTTTATCTATTCATGACCAAAATAAAATATGAATCTTGCAGTTGTCATGCAAAAGTTATAATTGAGTCAATTTCATTGAACATTAACAATTCATATTTTGATTCTCCGAAAAGTTTAATATTGGAAGTGAATTTCAAATTTCAGAATTTTATATACCATTGCCATAACAGAAATCTAACTATAGGCCAGTGTAAATAGATCAATATAAAAGTACAATCTAAAATGAAATCTCATTTTTGCTTTTTGGCAGACAAGTGCTAAATTTATAGTGATATGAACCCCACAAATGAGAAGTGGCATGAGATGTTCTAAAATAATACACATACACTCCCTCCTACTTGACATCTATGTTGAACTGCTTAAATGAATAAACATACCCTACCTCCGTCATGACATTTATTATAGCTATGAAGTGATGAATTCTTAATTAAAGGGCATAGGTAAAGATATGTTAATTTAAATGATTTGAAGAGAAGTCAAAGAAATAGATTTAATGTATGAACATCATACACATGATTTCAATCATCACACCGATCAGAACATTGATTATCTAACCAGAGCAAGTCAAAAATTATCTTAAAATCAATAACTCCTATAATTAGAGGTTTTTATTTTTGTGATATCAGGCGTAAACTATTCAGTGTACAATATTAATAGTCATTAATGTGTGTGCGGTTAATGTATAGTTTTGCGCTAGAAAAGCTAAATAAAAATAATTAGTGATTAAATATATATGATATAGTAATCATTATCTATCATGACTATTTGTACACTAATATATCATAACATTGCAAAATAAGCATGTTAAAAGCAACCAATTAACAATATGACTTCAGTGTTAATTAATACATTTCAAGGATGGCATGGCATCGTCAGCATTTTTCTTATGATGTAGCTCAAGCTACAAACCTAAAAATCTCAGTTCCTGGATGCATGTTCTCAGGAGGTGTCCTAACGACAGTTCACATGCCTTTAGCACTCCCATTTATTCCATGCAATCACACTTACACTTTTTAAAAAGCATATTACAATTATCAAGTACCACAAATTGATCCAGATCGAGGAGTATTTGTTGAATAATCTCAAAACTGTTAAACTTACAGAAAAGGCTGTCACTTCCTAAGATAAATTCCAAAACTGATAATAAAATTCCTTGAACACTCTATAAAATGAGCAACTGTTCCCCCTGTAGTACAAGTCCTTCTTAAGACAATGGCAACACTGAATAACTTGATCAGTGACATTTTCAATATTTAAATGTCCAATAGATTAAAATGTCAACAGCTCTCCAATCAGGGCTAATCTGTTTAATGAAGGGAGGAAGGCTGCCATGTTGAAAAACATTGACACCAAAAACAATGACACATCCTAGAAAGTTTTATGGTTGTCAATTCAAAGGGAAAACAATAAGATTAACCTTTCTGTTAATTATTATTATTGGGAGTTTATTACCCCAGACTCTTAACCAATGGCTGGCCTTTTAGTCCGTCTGCTGTAAATCTTTCACCACCTCCTGACAAGACACCAACAGGTCCAACAATTGTTGCTTCAACAGATTAATGACTTCCACAAACATTATCTTGGCATCTTAATCTTTTAAATAAGTGTGTGTAGACAAACAGACAAATATTTTTGTACCAGCTTCTGATTAAACAAACATCAAACAA